TAGTACATGCACCGAAATGGCCACAAAAGCAAGTTCGCTTGCGGGACAAGTCCTTGTTTTTGTGGGCCAAGAGACCGCAGGCATTTGTTGTGTGTTTACATTTCGCACTCATTATGGCTTTAACCCCCAGGGCCCATGTGTTTTCTAATCTAGACCAGCGAGTTTGTCAATGTCAGATTGACAAATGGCATCTCTTTAGCCACACACACACACACACTGCTTAATTATTGCGTATAATTATGTGGGTTGGGCCTTAATCGGAAGGATATGCCAAAAAAGCATATCCCTTTAAAAGCATAAATCGAATTGCCAGGTTATCCCTTTCGGGCTTCCTTAGATAAATCACAAAATCCGTCATGGTCACTTTCTCAGCCTTGAAATAGGTCTTTAATTTAAAACAAATTCTTGTGGCTAAAAGGTATTTTAGTGAAGATATTAAAGAGTCTAAAAATAAATACTTAGTATATCTTTCAGACTCGTAAATTCCTGGCCATTACTTCCTTTCATCCCTTTTGACCTAGGCTCTCTTAAAAGCCTTTATCGAAATTAACCATCTCATTTTGTGCTCGAAATCGGTCACGGTCACTTGGCCTGCTTTTGTGACATTTCCTTTGGGCTTTAACCAGCCTGAAAATAAGATTTTAATTTAGCCCTACAAATTGTGGTTGCTTTCTTTATTATATTTTTTTTTTTTTTTGCCTCGCTAATTAATTTGATATTTTTTGTACGCAGCGCGTTTCCTGCGTTGCTAAATAGCAAAAATTAATGCCAAGGAAACACATTGCGCCCACCGCTCGTGGTGGGCGTGTCCCGATAACAAGGCGCTCGCAAATGGCTCGTAACATTTTGTTCCTCTTTCTGGGTCTTTTGTTCTTACTTAGTTTTTTTTTATGGACATTCCATGGGCTCAGGATAAAAAACAAAAAAAAAGGAAGGAGGCGGAAAAATTAATATCAATTTTCGAGCTTTGTCTAGGGCTAACAACCCTCTTTGTTGTTGGCCAGTGCTACTGCTACTGCTGCTGCTGCTGTTGACGTAGATTATAATCAAATGTATTCTGTTCCGTTCTGTGAATAATTTTCGTTGTTTTTTTATGCGCGCCTTGTGCGGTGTTTTTTTTTTATATTTTCATTGCGTGCCTTTGGGCGCTATGAATATATGTCCTTTTGGCCAGCTCCTGGCTATATTATATTAATAGCAATTACTCATAATTACTCGCTCTCTCTTTTTACGCTCAGGCTTGCTCTCTCTGTCTCTGTGTGTCTGAGTTTCCCTGCAATTAACTTGATTACAACAACAGTGACAGGATGAGTTTTCCCCCCCTGTCTAGGCGTTGCACTGACCCATGAAAAGGACTGCTGATTGTAAAGGAGTGGAAAAGTGAAAAGCGAAAGGTTGGCAAGCACATGCTTATAAATCACAGAAGCTCCTTAAGCTGCTCCTGGCTTTCCTTTCGTTTTTCACTCAAATTCAGTTAACCGCCTCGAGGGTCTGGGAACAAGCCCTCGTCGTCCTGTATCTGGGCAGGGCATCTCTGGAGTGCGCTACAAGTGAGGATATTATTTTTCGCTTTTCAGTGGCTCAAACACACACACACACACACTCCGACCGATAATAGAACATTTGGCCGCAAGACAAATTATTTCGAGGCCAACGGAAAAAGTAGAAAGCGGAATGTGCACTTGGCAAAAAAAAAGTTATATAAAATATAAAACCTTTTGCTTTCTTTTAGGTTTAAAATGTAAAGAATTTTAATGCAACAAGAATTGAAATTTATGAAAAAAATCCTACTTTATATTATTTTCTCCAAGTGAAGAGCACTCTCTTTACCTCTATTTCAGGCAACGCCCCTCAGGGCGACAATCATCATGTGTCAGCAACAGGAGGCGGATCCGTTGGTTTTTGATTCTGGCGGCCAAAGCGCGTTATTCCAACTGAATCCGAATCCGTACAAAATCCACCTCCGCTCCTGATGCTGCTGCGGGGCGTGTTTTTTCGTAATTGAAAAGCCAAAAGCGAAAAGCGCCAAAACGCCAAAGCCATAGCCAAAGCCAAAGTGAAAACTCAGCTACAAGTGGCGCCGAATGGGATATGTTTAGACGAGGAGCGAGTCAAGGACACTGAAGTTCCTCTGCTGATTGACAACATATTCAAAGCCAAATCATCGACTAATGCCGGTAACGACTGGCAATGGGGGGTGAGTGAGTCTGTGATGGTAGTGAAAATGTGCCAAGCCGTTGCGCCATGTGCGAAAATTAATTAACAAAATTGCGTTTTAAAAATGCTATGAGCGCCTTCTCTTTTTTCTTCACAAAAAAAAAAAAGGTTGCAATTACCGTTAATGAGTTTAATGCCAAAGGCGCCACCAAACGCATCACTCTCCTCCTTGACTTTCCTCCTAATGAGCGGGGGGAGCCCTTTTAGGTATCGCAAAAGTTTCGCAGGTTGTCTATTTTGATGTTTCCTCGCATTTTTTTTTTACTTGCTACCCCTTTTTTACTTGAAGCACTGAGAGAAAATAGGTTGCATAAAAAGTAAAAAAGTTCTTGTTTAAAAATAAACTTTTTCAATTTTAGGAGAGTATTTCTTAACTATATATTTTAATAAACAAGGCAGTTCTGTTCAAAAATTGTACAAAATGATTAATATATATTTTTATCGATAGCTATATCTTTACTTATTTTAAGATATAATATGCTTCTTTTGTTTCTAAATTATTGTGAAGATCTTAAACTTCAAAACAGAATAATTTCTTTCTAAACTAGATATATTTTCTCTCCTGTTAATTTTTTTCTACCCCTTTTCATTCGAGAGTTTCCCTCTTTTTTTTTTTTTGGAAAGGAAAATATTTTACTTTCCTTTGCACTTGACTTCACTTTGACTATGGGGTCATGTCAGGAAGAAAAGTGCACAAGACACGCAACAAGTCTTGGCCTGAACTTGGAACTTGGCCAAGCAGCAGCAGCAGCACCTTTGACGTGGCTTCTGGAAATTACCCTTTTTACGTGGCACATTAATTTCGGGCAGGTTCACTGGGCACTCTCAACCCCAAAAGCGAGCCAGAACGAACCGAGACCCGACCCATCGCCCACACATACTCAGAGAACCGTAACGTCTTCTTCTGACCCTTTTTTCACATTTGACCAGTTCATTGAAGCGTTTTTGATGTCAGGGGTCCTGGTTCTTTCTGTGCAAACTACTGTATTGCCATGGCTGCCACAAAGAGAACCCTAAATGCCCCGCAAACTGGCATTAATGACTACCGTAGCTTTGATTTCGACTTACTGTGTGCAGCAACAGCAGCAGCAGCTGTTTGCTCTTCTATCTTGCCAGAGATCTATCAGCCAACAGCCAATCAGCTTCCTAGCTCTACGGACTTTATTCTAGATTTTTTTCCCTTGCCGGATTTGTCTCAATTGGTAAATGGAAGCCAATTAGTGGCCGTGTGGCCGGGCTCTGTGTGGCCAAGTGTTAAATTAATTACCTAATGGCTGCACTCTTGGCCCCGATGGTTGGTTGGTCGGTTGGTTGGTTGGTTGGTGCAAAGTTTGCTTATTGAACTCTTAAATAAAATGCACATGCAACTCACTCGCACTATTTGCCATAGATATATCTGCTGCATGTCCTGTGTTTGTGTTGTTGTGTCTCACTTTGTGTGTGTGTGTTGACTTAATTATATTTGCAGTGAGGAAAAACGAAATTGCCGGTAATCAGAGCTCGAGAGTCGGTCGAACCAAGAGCCAAGTGCTGCACAAATAGCCAGTTCAGTTCAGTTCAGTTCAGGTCGGGGTCGGTTTGGTTCGCTTTGGGTCACAGGTCAAAAGGGGAGGAGGAGGAGGCTAAAGGCAAAGTGAAGCTCTGCCCATGACAATGGCTGAGCAAATATTAAACAGCCAGACAAACATGGTTGCATTTGTGCACTGTCGAAAACTATTAGAAATTTTGAAAGGAATTTGAGCAATTTATCAGATTTTTTGGAATTTTCAGCTTGACCTTAAGTCATTATTCCGGAAATTTTGATCTATTCTTCAATCTTTATCTAAGCTTTATCAAAAGTAGAGACTTTAAGTCGTTTTAAAAGTATCTAATACAAATTTTCCGGCACCCAACTCAGAGGAAAGAATATTTTTTAAATCTTTAGAAGCCAAATTCAGTGGAAATTTTCTATGTAAAACTTTTTGGCCTTGTTTTGTATCATTTTTTGAGGGATTCCAAGCCCCCGAATGATTTCTATCATTTTAAATAATATTTTCTCTGTGTGTGTGTGGTGGTCACCTCAACAAAATCTTGACTGGGCAAATCCAGTTATAAAAATGGCCAGTCTAAAGCAGTCAATGCAGCGAGACAACAAAACAGGAAGAAGATGATCCCCAAACGTATACGTAGAAGGTGTACCACGAAACGGGGTGTGTGTGTGTGTGTGCGAGAAATGTAAACTTAAATATTTTATGCCATTCAGGCGGCAAACACAAAGGCGGTGGCACAACAAAAATACAAATAAGAAAAAAATATATATATAAGAAAAGGAAGGAGAAGTGATGCCAGGTAAGTGCCGGTCGCACTGAAATAAAATTGCATACTTTATGGCACAGGATGCGGCAGCAAGAAGCTGGAGCAGCCAGGACCTAAGAAGCACGAAGCAAGGACTAAGGAGCCTTAGTCTGGCAGACGTCTTTGTCAGCAGGCAGGCAGGCTGTCCTGGCAGCGAAGAAATTCGATGAAATTTATTTACAGTTTAAAAAGTAGACAAGTGCCAAGGAGAGGAAAAGGATCCCGACTCCGACTCCGACTGCAATCGACTCTCGTGTGCGTGTCTGCCGGAGTTTATTTAAAATTCAATTATGGCACACAATTGCCGGGCTGCTTGCCACCACAATGCCAAATGAAGCGGGTTATTTTTCGGCACAAATAAGAACCCCCAAGATACTTATGGGACAAATTGAAATTGCGCCGCCTGCCCTGGAGCTTAAGTGTATTGAATAAGTATCGAAATTGCTTACCAAATAGTTTAGTTTATATATAAATTGTTCATCGATCCTTACCTGCAATAAGAGAGGAAAATAATTAGTCAGTAGAGTGCTTAGCTCTTGGCCTTTGCTTAAATCTAAAACATTTGACAATTACAACAATCTCTGGGTTATCTAGAGGCACACAATATATCAAATTTCATACGACAAATACTAGAGAGGTAGGTAGGGTGGTTTTTTCATTTTTAACATTTTTTTTTTTTTTTTTGACAAATCATAAATAACGCAATAAATCAAATTATGCAAAGAGAGAGGGAAAGAGAGAAGATGAAGCAAGGTAATCGAAAAAAATATTTAACGAGCAATATAATTATTCTATGATACTCGGTATAGATTTTCCTTAATTCATTTAATGATGCACCGTTTTCAGGAAATTGCCAGGGATCATTTTTCAAGGTCTATTTTCGCCATCTAATTATAATTTATGTCACTGGCACACACACACACACACACAGACCGCCTAGAGATGTCTACTGGCGCTTATAATTTAAATATTCCCCCGGCTTTCGGTATCTGTTTCATCGTCGTCATCATCAGGAGGACATCGTCAGGCACAGGAGCTTGTCATTGTGACACCCGAAATCTTGTTAAAGAAATCTCAATTATCAACTTTTATTGATTTGCATAGCAAGCGGAAAGCCCGGAAAATGGTAAACAAGCCTCGCACAGAGCTCAATGCTATTTACGCTCCATTTTCCAAGACAGGGAGCACCAGCAGCAGAAAAAAAAATGCACGAAAACAATTACGATAAAAATGCGAACTCGGGGTCTACGTTCAGGTTCTGTATTCTTTTTTTTTTTTTCTGTCTTCCCCTGCAGGATGAATGGGCTTTGGTTAGGTAACCTGCCATGCGACAAGCTTTGAGCACGGATAAAAGCAAATTATGATAACAATAAAGATTTAACTAGGGAGGAGTCCTCGGTCGGTCGGTCGGTCTGTCGGTTGGTGGCTCAAGTGGATCGGATAGAAGGTTGGGTGGCCGCTTCTCCTGTCAAGTGGCATTGCCATGGCCATGCCATTGAGGAATCGACGCCACAAAAGGACGGCAGCTAGAAGCAGGGACAATTTAAATAGACATTTATCTTGTGCCACACACACACACATACACCCACGACACACACACATACACGTGCCGGTGCCTATAACAAAATTACAGCGAATGCGGCTGATCCATGACGATAATATGGGAATCCCCCACTTTGGCATTGATGATGCGAGCAAGGATAGCGAACGGGAAAGCTAAGGGAGGAGGTTGAACCAACAGGCATTCTGGGGGTTTGCCTACACAGAGAAATAATACGAGTAGTAGGTAAGAGTTTCTAAATTACAAATTCGAAAAAATATTAAGTCTATTTATTAAGATTCAAAAATCTGTGATTTAAAATAATTATTTCAAGCAAATAGCTAGCAAATTTAAAAACATTTAATTTTTATGAATTATTTGTAATATTAAGTTTGTTAATTTTTTTAATTGAAAATATTATTCATTAAATTTTGGTTTCCATTAAATAATTTTTAAACCAATTTTTAATTCTATTTATTAAATTATCTTTTGTTTTTATCTCTGTATTCGTTTTGTTTGATTTTATTTATGCAACAAGAACAACAACAACAACCGCAGAATTTTCTCACTGCCATTTTCATAGGCTTGCCTATTTCTACTTTTTGTTTTGTTTTCTTTTCGCTTCGGTTTTCTTCTTTTTGTTCTTCCTTTATTATTTTCTTTATAATTTTTTGGCTTGGCAAATGTTTTTCAAAGCATAAAAATACTTTTACATTAACTTGTTTCAACACACACACACACACTCAAACCAAAAGTTGTAGAACATTTTTGGGTTTGCTTTTAACGCTCAACGACTTTTGTGCCGAAGAAAAACAGCAAGTTGCTGCGGAAAACTCCGAGAAGCAACAGCAGCAGCAACACCAACAACAGCAATAATAATCATAACAACAAAGCCGTGTGGCAAAGTGTGTGTTTATGTGCGGAATTCCCTTTCTTTACTTGGGGTGGGTTGGAAAAACCCCAAAAAAGAAAGTTACCCTGTCTATCGGCTATATCAACATCATTTGCGTTAAGTGGAGAGAAAAAAGCAGAAGAAAAAAAAGTTGGAACATTTACGATTTGCCTAATGCGTTTGACTATCTATCAACCACAAAAAATACAACAAAAAAAATTAAATAAAGAAACCCAGGCTAGCCTATTAAATTGCAATAAAGAAAATTCTTGGCTGGCTGCCAAAAATCGGAGTAAAGCAACAGTTAACCAGATTTTTGGCTCGCCTAATTGGCTGCCTGTTGTTTGTTGTTGTCTGCCCGCAGGACCCAACAAAAAAAGTAGCAAAAACAAAAACAGGACAAGGGAAAAGAGCAAAAAACTGTTGCATACTTCGGGGGAAAGGAGCAGCCCTAATAACATTTGCCGATAATATGTCCGTGTGCCAAGTGTGTGTGTGTGTGTTTGTGTAGGGCAGAAATAAATAAAATACTTTTTTCAGAAGAAGCAACTCTCTTCTTACGTGCTGGGGATTCTTCTTTTTGTCTAGGACACAAAAAAAAAGGACCTCAACAGGAGCATAGATTTCGGCATATCGATAGCAAGCGTATTGCATATTTGCTTTTGAGCTCTCTCTCTCCCCCAAACTGAAGCTGAACACTTTTATGGCTTCTGGGCAAAATTTATGATTTCCCCTGCTCGTTCTTGGTTCTCTTTCTCCTGCTCCTTTGTTAAAAAAGGATTTCGTTTTGTACAGCTCGTTACCTGACTCTCCCACCCGGGAGCCCACCTCTTTCCTCTGTGTGTACGCCACAATTTAAGCGCTTTAAAATTTGCATGAAAATCAAAGAGGCAAAAGGAGGCAGCAGGAGCAACAGCAGGATGAAATTATGGCAATTAAAACAAATTAACTGAGTGAACACAAAAGCGTTTCGAAAATCTCCGGGTATCAAAGTTCAAAAGCCTAGGCCTGCCCTGCCGATATATTGTACATGGAAAGTTAACTAAACAAAATACTAATGAACTTCGTATAGACCGTCAGGCCAAAGCAAAACAAATACTCTCTGCTTTCAGAAGTAGCTTCGGGGGGAAATTGATTTGCATAGCAACCGGAGCATGTGGCATAGTCTGCCAAATCGCAAGACACTCGCTAAGCAGTTTAACTATTTAGGGCAACGACTTCAACTCAAGCATTGACTCGGGTACAGAGAGCTGTTCAATTGGACAATTTCTAGCTGGTTTTTGGAGGTTTTCAGGGGTTGAAAGGGGTTTAAGAATCTGAGACAGTAATTTTCCTTAAAATAAAGATCTAGTATACCTTTCTATGATGAATTAGCTCATTCTTCCCTCCCTTTTACCTTGGAATCACTCCTAAAACATATGTTTTTTAAGGGCTTCTTCAACTAAGTCTTAGATACTTTTATATCTTATAAATCCAAGACAGAATCCTTAATAAAAGACAGCACTGTTTAAGCCAAGCAGCCAAAGCATCTTGCTGTGGCTCTGACTGTGAGGCACATGGCCATGGCAACTACAATTTGAGGAGCACGCCGCAGGCTGAAGTGTCAAAGACATGGCCATCACATCACAGGCTCGTCGGGCTACACAAATGTTGACAAGCTAATGAAATGTGAGGCCCCCAAAATTGATACACTCCGCCCCGAAGATGATGATGATGATGATGAACTCGGAACTGAAACTCGGCAGAGGCAAAGGCAGAGGCCATAACTCCCACTTGAGCTTGGAATCCTTGGACCAATTGACAGTGAAAAGGAGTCCCTGGCGACCGTTTTGGACCGTGGGGGACCCAGTGCTAAATTGTTGCTTAGACATTCGGTTATGCAAATCGAAATTATAATGAAATCAACAATGGGAAACGAGACAGAGCTGCCGCCTGGCAGCTCACGAATTTCTTGAAAATTGATTGATGAAGAGGCAGAGGCCCAGGTACTTGGAAAATAGCTAGAAATTAGCATATAACAAATGAGTGAAGGGTGATTTTTCATGAAAGAAGAGAGTATTTAAAGAGTATTTATTTCATTTTCTGTTGCTCCCATTAAAACTACTAAAGGAAAGACGACACGTAACACACAACAACCAGAAGCTCAACCATAATTTACTCCAGGTGAAGTTTCAATTTATTTTTGCTCCGATGATACTTTATGGCCCCAAACACACGTTCAAATTGGACCTCAAACGGAGGCATAAAATGTGCGATGAATCGGCTGTATCGGCGTGTATATCATGCCTCAAGGAGAATCGATTCGAAACTGAATTCCAAAACAATTTACCGGGGACAGAGAAGGCCCCAAAGACATGAGTGGTAAATCACATCAATATGTAACTCAGTCAGCAGTCGCAGGATCCCAGTATCCAGCAGGCAGTACCCGGTACCCTAGGACGCAAAACTTGAGCAAAGTGGAGCAAAAACAGATGGCAAAGATGTTTATCTAAGAGCAATGGTCGTCCCGGAATCGTTTCCTCTCCGGTCGGACGGTTGGCCTGTCTACTCTCTCCTCCTTTTCCACTTTTCCACCATCCCAGCGATTTGCTATGCAATTTTACACACTTGACCATTAAACGTAGCCATTGGGAGCAGTTTGCATAGCAATGAAGCAGGGACAGTGAGGAGCAGCAGGTCCTGCTTCGAGGTCTGAATAGAAAAGCAAGCCATATAGTCGGGTCAACTTGATGAAGTATGAATGATTACGTCAGACCATGGAGGAGCACACACCACACACACACACAGAGGGCTCAGCTCAACTCAGCTCAGCTTCAGGAGGATGTGGATGATGATGCGATGGCTAACCGCATTGAGGAGGTGTGTAGTTGACTGTAAAAACTTCAATGAATAAATTTTTCTCTCCTTCGGAGGTGGCCGTAAAAAGCATAAATATAACTCAGACAGCCGGCAGTCACACTTCGACTTTTGGGTTGTGGAAAAGTCAAAGGAGGAGCAGGAGAAGGACGAGAAATAGTAGCAGAGTAAATTGATCGAAATGAAAATGCTCATAAATTTGC